AAGAAAGACAAGTGATGTTGGGGACAGCAGGCCTGGCACTACGCCATGGAGAAATCATAAAAGGTGACAAGGGTTTTGGATCCCTTCAGACTTGGCCATGTAGTGAGAATAACTTCACTCTCTGTACATAGCCCCTATCTTTGACACCAGAAAATTGGGCCAGGTCTTTTTTGTCACCTTATCCATTCCAAGTGCTCTAAAATACCACACACCTTCTACTTTCTCTGGGAAAATAGGGTGAGCACACAGCAAACATACACAAGAACTAGATTTTAGGGTAAATTCAAGCTTACTTGGAGATTATGAGGGTATATAGGAGAATTACTAAGCCTATTTAAATAGTCTCCTAAGTTCATTGGGACAACATAGTAAACACACACTCTTGAGAGACAAAAATTAAGACCATCAACTAGGGCCTTGGGTTGTTGTAGAAACAGGCATCAGGAGTTTGTAAATGACTCAGTAAAGCATCAAGCAGGATGAAGAGTGGTAATGTCTTTTAATGATGGGATTTGAGATATACACAAAAATCCTAATTTTACCACCAACTCAAGGGCAAGATGACATTGGCTAATAGTTCTTTGAACTGTTCCTATTTCTTTACACTTCTAAAACTGTAATTTAGGAAAACCCAGTGAGTGTGTCCTCTTTCCCCCTGTAGCCTTAGTATATAGCACAATGTCAAGCACAGAAAAAACACAAAAAATAGCTACTGAATGGATAAGTGAATTAAGGGACACAGGCCTCACCTCTGCCTTCAAATTGCACACTGCATTTGGTGATTTCTTTCCCTCCTGTTTCCCATAAATGTCACCTCACTGAGCACATCCTGAAAGCTTCAAATGCATTAATGAATTTATGTGTCTGTGTTATGTGTGTGTATAGAGGGTGCGATTTAGACAGCCATATGATTACCTGCAAATCCCCTCAGAATGGTCCTATATGGAGACTTACTGTGTTTGTGCATTTAAAAACAAAGACAAAAATACTACTGAGAAATAATTTTTATGTCCCCACATACAACATTAGTTTTTGGCATATCTTTTTGAGAATTGATTCTTGCAAAATGAAGTAAAATTGTTATCCTAGTTTCTGGTTCAAAGTCATGAACAACACATGGTTACTCTAATACATATGTTGGTGCAAAGGTGAGAATTTCTGAGCTCAGTTGTCTAGGGAACCCTCACCCTCAACCTTGCCAGGTGTCAACACAGAGGTCACATTCTCAAGAGGGTCTTCCCACTAACCTACACCACTAGTGACTGCCCCTGGATTCTGGAAATGCTCCCCCTTCTCCTGTGTCACTGGTCTCATTGCAAGACTCTCACATGGGTTATGCTGTATTTTATTGGCTAATTGGTTATCCGTGTCTGCCTCACCAAAATGTAAGTCCTGTCAGGGCTCTACTCACCCCTGTGTCTCTATAATCTAAAACTATGTCTACATATTAAGTAATATTTGGCTGTATGAAGAGATTAATGGAGAGGGGTTTGAATTTATGAATTAATTAAATTAATTAATTAAAGCAACAGGGAGGAGAAGTTTGAAGTAGAAGTTGTTCTCACTCTCCTCATTGTTAATGCTCTCTTCACCTGGAAATCCTAGGAGACTGGAAAAGATACACAGTTCCAGTGAATTAGGCCAAGGTGGGACTGGGCTAGAGGGAGCAGACTTCTACACACCTCTGCCACTCTTTCTTCTTCTCTTGGAACTCTGCATTTGTTTAGGTTTTATAGATGCTCACGGCTGAGAGAAGATATCACTAGGGTTTTTTTTGGTTATTTATTTGTGTGTGTGTGTGTGTGTGTGTGTGTGTGTGGGCAGCTCAGCCCACCAGGGGGCGGGGCTGGCTGGCATGTGGTGCTGGGGGATTGAACCGCGGTCCCTGTGCTTTGCCAAGCTTGTTCTAAGTAGGTGCTTTAGACCACTGAGAAACAAATAGTAATGAGACAGTTTCAAAACCAATTACTAGCACAGTTTCAATAATTAATACATTGCAAATTGTTGTTAGTGGTTATTCTTTGTACAAGATGCAGACATGATATCCTGTCTTGAACATTATGATAACAAATCTCTCTATTCATTGAATTAAGAGGATGCAGCTGTATATCTACAATAACTATTTTGAATATACAGATACAAAATGGTCATTCATTTGTATCCTTTTTAATGTGGACTCCTTTATAGCCCGCACCAGACAAGGGGCGCTAGAAACATACTGACTCTGGAAAGGATTTGGCATAGTTTGCTTAATGTGGATTTAAAAAGAGAGATGGTGTTTTACAAAAATGAGCATGAGCCTTATTTGGAGTCAGAAACTAGGCTCGAATTATAGCTTTTGCCCTTGTTAGTCACCTGGGGATCTTTTTTCTTCTTCAACTGTAAAATGGAACACAAATACTCTTCTTCAGGATTGCTGTAAGGATCTAAAGAAGCAGTTTCTCTTATGAGAAGTAGATTAGAATATTAGAGCACAGACTCTGGATCCAGCTTGCCTGGGCTTCAAACTGAACTCTGTTGTTCCTAACTATGCGGCTATCTCTGTCCCCGTTTCCTCCTAGGGCTGTCACGAGGATTTAGTGTGTTAAGGCCCGTGCCTGATTCCAGGCCCAGGAATCCCTGTTGGTTACAATGACACTTGTGTAAGACACCTAAGATTAGTAAATAATCAGGTACTTGTGGTTTTAGGGAGAATTTCTTTTATTTAAGTTTAGTGGGATAAAGTACAAATATGGAGACGTGTGTTCTCCATCTCAGCCTGGGTTTCTGTGGTCAGGGGAGTAGCGCTTGGAGTTTTTCTCTCCTACTTCTTCAAACACAGACAGTGCTCATGTGACTTTTCTTCATTTAACCAAAAATCCAGCTTCAAATTTTATCAGTGTACACCTCCCATATATTTATGCAACAAATGCAGGCTGATCACATGACTTTCAGTGGTTAAGAACCATTCTAACTCTTCTGGAGGTATTTGTGGTCCATCTGTTTTGCTTATTCTTGTATCCAAGACATTCATCCCCCCTTCTCCTAGCTGACTTAGTTTAATCTTGACTGACCAGCCAGCCCCTGGGTCTGTGCTCATGAAAAGGCAAAGATGGATAAGTCCTTTGTGTAGTGGTTAAAAGAGGGAGAGGAGTAGGAAGGGGCCCTGAAGCTGTGGGAATGACTTCCTGGACAGTCTCTCTCTACTGATTCCAATAAGACTGAGAGATCTTGCCCCAGAATGAATTCTAGCATGGGTCACAGGTGCTAGTTATTATACCTAAAGCCCTTGACCTTTCTTCAAGATTATTTCCATTGCTGCCTACTTGTTTTTTGTTTGTTTGTTTGAGGAGATAAAGAAGGTGGAGAAACTAAGAACATTGTGCTAGAACCCTCTGTATCCTATGTTCCCCTTCCATCTAGTTCCTTAATGCTGACCTGCTGAAACTCTGCTGTCTGAGAAAAGTACTTGTTTCACAGTGAGGAAGAAGCTGCAGCCTGAAAGGAAAACCAGAGTCCCACAGCAGCCACACCCATTTCAGTGCAAGCTGTGGGGAGTGTCATGTTAAATGTTCTGGAAGATGTCAAATAATTAATACCCTTAAATCCAAAATGTAATGGGAAAATCTTGCATCAGAAACAGAAATTTGTATTGGACAGCCCACAGGTCAGGGCACCAAGAAGAAACTGCAGACTGGGCCAAGGCCTATGAAAATAACTTTGAACAAACAGAATTGCAATCAAAGAACAGTATTTTACCTTCCCTATAAATGTTTTGGTCAAACTTGATGAAACATGCCAATTTGTATTGGACGGTAACAACTTTCTTTTCTTTTTGCAGGATATCTGAATTTCCAAACCTCTAATTAGTGTGCTGAATGATGATGGTCTAAGTAGGGGCAGGAAATTCACACAGATTCTTCTGAGAAAAGGAGAACTGGACACCATATGTAGCCACAAGTGTCACCTCCTGCAGAGCGGTGGTGTAGTTTACTTGTTCATCTGCTTAAGATAGTGCAGGAATGGGTATCTGGAGCTTTGCACCAAAAAGGTCTGGATTTTATCACCAGACCAGTTCTTCACTGGCTGAAGAACAGTTTCCAAGATTCTCTTTCCTTATCTGAAAAAATGGAAAGAATAATGAAACCTAACTCAAAGGGCTGTGGAGAGATGAACTCTATGGAGTTCATCGGTATATAGCTGACAGCATACGGGGGCCATGGCTCATTATATGATGCTTGCTATCACAGTTTTATTTTTTATCCTCAGTTTTGCAATTTTGAAGGTTATGCCAGAGAACAGAGACAGAACAGTATCTTTTTTTTTTTTTTGAAACCAAAGAGGAACCTTTATTTTCAACAAATATGCCTACAAGAGATGGTTCATTGATCTACTATAAACAAGTCTCTCTTCACATACAGCACCAAAATATATATTTAAAAAATTAAAAAACACACAGCCCCGCCCCTCATACACACATCTCCCCAAAAGCCACGCAACTTGGACCAAAAGGGAAAAACGAACCAAACTCAATACCCTTGCACAAAAGTCATCTTTGAATTAGGATTTACAAATTTATATATTCTTTCCTATGAGAAATGAAACAAAAAGTAAAATAAAAACAGGGTAAGGAAAAACTAAAGATAAAGGCCTGACAGGACTTAGAAAATTAAGAAAACACACTGTTGGCCTGCAAGCTAACAGAAAGCAGAGCAATGTCAGTGCTCTTCACGAACTTTGAGAGGGAGGCTGTA